TGCTGGTTAATCAACGTTAAGTGGTTTAAAATTACTTTAAAATAATTCATTGAAGATTTTAGAATAAAAATCATTGAAATGCATATCATCCGCAGCGTGCATTTTCCTACTTTCGATATTGTACTGACGTGTCAATGAATTTAACAAAGACGGAATTTTACGATGCAGTCAGCAATCTTGTGTTATTTGGAAGATATCTTCTTAAAGATTATTTTGTTTGTAAAACAAAAGCTACACTAAATTTAAAAAAAAATAAGAAAGGAATATTCTGCATTTGTGGAAATCCATGTGGAATTGTCAATTGATGATCTTATCCGACGTACTGTTTTTTTAAATTATAAATTACTGTAGAAACTGGTGTATATGTAAATAATTACTACATCAAAATACGACACAGAAAATATATTGTTTAATTTAATTTGAATCGGATGGGAAAAAAAATAGCTATGAAAAGATTGACTTAAATTTCCGTCCCGTAATGGAACCATATTGAGATGAGACCCAATGTAGTCTCTGTGTAATGAGTAAATCTCTGCCCAGCCCATCAGAAAATATGAAATGTTGATATTCAGGTATTGAAGATACCCCACTTTTTCATCTGTGTCTGTTTGTAATTGTTCAGAATAATGTGTAAAATATAAACCTTAATATTTAACTTGCATTTTGTGTACAGATCGAAGCATTATGGGAACATTTTTCACAAAACTTGTCGCCAAGAATAATCACAATATGTAAACGATAAGATGTAAAACGTTATAATTATGCTCAACAATTGTCAATGACGTCGATAATGGAAAAAATTTCCAATGATACTATTCAATGAAAATGATATTTCTGCAATATGTTCTATGTTAAACAATGATGTAAAAAGCCAAACAGTTTTCTTCCGTAACGTGTATGAAAAAAAAGTCTGCTATAATTGTTAATAGGTTCACTGCCTAACTAAGCATATGCATAGGAGATATGAAAAAACTAGATTGAAGATTTTATATTTACTAGTACCTAGCGGCGATTTTTCAAACCATTAAATAAAAGCATGTGCTCTCCCTACATGTAATAACAGCCTCCCCCCCCCCCCTTTCCATAAATGATGAGTTTTATGGATAATTTCTACACGGACATGTTAAAAAAGACAATATTTACATATGCCTATTTATTGTATTACCTGTCCTTTTTAAGGATTCATTTTAATCCTTTTCAAAAATAGCATTTTAATGATAAATAAAATCAACGAAAGAGAAACAAGAGTTATGATTTCTTTTTTCTTCATTTCACCAGTAAGTTATGTTACAGAATATAACGACTTTATATAATCTAGATACAGTTGAATAATATTAGAATAATATTCGTTTGTAACTGTAACTTATTTTTTAAAAATATGTTGCTGTACTAAAAATTCTATAAACAATTAGATAAATAGTTGTTTATTTTTCAAGTTCCAATTAACTTCCCGACACGTGTAAGTTTCGAAGCCAGTTAAGGTGTATAGTATACACTTGTCTACACTTGTCTAGAGTTTCAACACGTGAATAATGTCCCAAGGGCCACGGCAACTGAATGTCCCAATATATTGTTCATCTGAACAGGTGTGAAATATATTAGCCAAGGAGCGACTCCATACATACACGAGAAGTTTCTGCAATTCATCGATATCCGGTATTTGATTGACAGGTAGAGCACGTGGATTTCGTGTGTGATGCGTTGAACTTGTACCGATTCTATTTCGTTTCGATTAATAAAAACTGGAGGTGAACCATGATTTCTTAAAAAAATTAAGAGAGGTACATAATACACATGTATATGAGAAGAAACCAAAAAAAAAAAAAAAAAAAAAAAAAAAAAAAAAAAAAAAAAAAGCCAGAAGGATGAACCTGAAAGTAATCGCTCTCTCTCTCTCTCTTAACATTCTAAAATATGGAATTCAAAATAATTTTTAATTATTATAAAAAAAGTGAATAGTATATAACTTGTAAAAGAATTTTTAGAATGCTGCATTGGCAGTTCAAGCGATTATTTTTACTTTTCGTACTGATCGTAGAATATTAAGTAGTAATTTAAAAAAATACATGTACCCAGATAGAAACACTGACACTTACATATTCGACAGAAATAAACGTTCAAACATTTAATTTCCTACATTTATGTCTCTTGATGTCAACTTAAATCAATGGATGCATACAACTGCTTGATTTTCATGTGAATTTGCCGATTGTACGACTACCAAACTGCGAATAAGATTTTTTAGTGAATGCCACGTGTTTTTTTTTTTTTTTTCTTGCATGTACTTTTTCTTCCTCACATGTAGCAACGCCATTGACAAGTGGTATACACTTTTTATTTTATTTCTGCCGTATCTATGTTTGGCATTGAATAATAATTATTAAGTTCAAAGACAATGTATTTGTTCTTGGATTTGTACCTGCGCACTTATAACATACGTCAGAAATAATTGACATGTAGTTGTTTTTGTTTTCAAATGAATATGAAATATGAATTCAACAGAAATCAAAATAAATTTATTCAATTGATATGTATATCGTCAACGGTGAACCAAAGTCTACACTGAACGCCGCTGTTCCGACCTTACATGTATGATAGTGAGCTGTTTGAATTAAATATTTTTTCATTTACTATTTCTTTCTAGCAATTAAAACAACATACCTATGATTTCAATTCTAAAATTATTTTTATAAACAAACCATTTTCTTCCATAGTTTTCTTGCACGGTGGAACACGGAGGTTCACCCGATGAAACGGTAATGTCCACGGTGTGACACGGTGCGTCTTTGGTGTAATCGCAATATACGCACACGGTGTAACACGGGGTATTTTCCACCGTGTGTTTTCCACGGTGGGGTGGAAGAAACTCGTGAGCTGTACTGTAACTGAGGTATGTATTTGGTTTCTTATGATTTATAATTGTGAAAATTTAATTTAAATAAAAATTGTCATGGAAAACTTAATAAAATGATACATGTATGTCGTTTAACGTCCCATTCGATAAATTTTTACTCATATAGAGACGTCACCATATACAGGTGAAGGGCTTCAAATCTAGGCCTATACTCGGCACTCAGGGCCAATGAGTAGTGAGTGTTCTTTATTGTGCCAATGCCTATCGTGATACGGGACCTCGGGTTTTAACGTCTCATCCGGAAGACCCGTGACTTTCACTTCTAATACCGGGTGCTTGGAGAAGGAGCAGTCACTACCTATATATACATCGTAGGTTTGACGCGGCCCTGCGATCAAGAATCGAATTTGTGCCTCCCGATCAAGTATTGAGATGTAAGATATATATATAGCACTCGAAAAAAATCCATATTTTTTTTATCGGGATGGCAGTTGTATTTTTTTTTTTTTCGAAATATCATTTTTCACATATACTAACCAATTTTGGTAATAAAATGTTCTTTTTGTATTATAAAACAAAACGTAATAAGCTATTTGTTTTGACTTAAAATGAAAAGAAAAAAAACGTAACATTTTAAGAACGAATGCTCTCCATATTAGCACAGAAAGCTAAAATATATCCATTTCTATATCGGAAATCAATGTGTACATTGTAAATGGCTGCTTATTTTATCAATAAATAATGTTTATGCTTTCATTTTTTAATTTTTTTATGATGTCATTTACACAACGACTGAGACCATATAACGTCACTGATTTCGTTATTGTACCTTCAAGTAAAGTTTAATTGTCTGCTTTTTTGCATATATTTGTGGTAAAGGTTAAGAATACGATTATATTAAAAGAAATGATTTTCCTAAGAGAATTATCAGTAATTTGAGCGTCTTCCCTGATATACCATGAATAACACGACTAATAGGATAATATTTTCGAAATATTTATAATCTACCCTTGAATGACCACACATGCACGACACCCTTCCAGTAAGTAGTTGAAACATATAATTAAGCATTGAGTCATTATTTTTTTTTAAAGTTGCAGTTTCATAACTGCAACGGTATGTGCAAACAAATTTTCATAACGTGCGTTATTAAAAGAATTATGATTCAATGCTTAAATTTTCATTTTTTAACTCCTTGCCTTGACTACAAATGTCATTTACATGTTTTGTTTTGTTTTTTTCAAAATACGTGTATTATCCTTCGAGTAAGTTATAATTAATAGAAGAGCCATTGCAACAGCGTCTGTTAGATGTTAGCGTGCATTTTGATTTTCGTTGAAGACGGTTTACTTGCACGGCGTTTAACGTTTGTGACGTCAAAATAAAATGCATAATTAAACCTTTGACCACTTGTCCGTGTTATGGTGTTTAAAATGCCGTCGCTTTCCACACGCTTTATAAGCAAAATAGATGTGGAATGTAGATATATTTGTATGAAACCTGTTTACTCTTGATATCCAGTCTAATTATGTAAATGGCGTGGTGCATCCCGATGCACTTAAAAAAAAATAAATAGCTTACGATAATGCAAATACAAGGAGATGCACTTCAGAGAAAATGAAAAGAACTCGGTCAAGACCACCAAAAACATGAATTGCCTGAAATTGGGTATGCATCCGGTTGAATGGAAATAGAAAATTTGCTTGATTTGTGTCAAAAGAAATTATAAAGGATACATGCATAAACATTACTCCAAATTTTTCTTTAAATGCTGTATCTATTTAAAGACTTCTTATTTGCAGGATAGATATTTCAGGACAGCTTCAATATATGGTGCAATATATCTTTACATATATCACCATTAGATATGAAAATATTCCATAAAGAGATTGTTAAAATTATCGCAACAAATGAAAAACTTGTTATTTAAAAGTACTTTCCATTTAGGAACTCTTGTATTGTCATATTCAATTATTTGTTTAAGAACTGATGTGTTTAAAAGGATTGTCGATTACTAATGAATATTAGACTACATTTGACATAACAAATATTCGTAACCTACAAATTTATAGTTGAGTCAAATTTATTCATAATTATTTATTTCATGTATTTTGTTTTAATCAAATATATTTATTTTTACAGTAAAAAAAAGACATGGGAAACCAGAAGCTATCCACCATAAGTCTTGTTTTCTGTTTGATTTTATTTACAGTATACATTCAAGGTGAAAAGAAAATTTATATACCCAGCCAAGGGATTCATTTCCTATTATTATTATCATCAAACAATTTAGTTTTGAGTTGGTCAAAATAAATCTGATGCTTTAAATATTCTTAAAGAATTACATTAAAACGTTTCAGATCTAGAACTTCATTCCATAATCCCTCAAGCAGAAGAATAAGGGAAACTTTTTTTCCCTTTCGCATTAATATTCAGAATGTTATTATTCAGATTGTCCATTTTTATTTAAGACCACCTGTAACATATTTGCATGAAAATGAATAATTTTTTATTTTTTTAGCAAAGTAACAATCACATGTACCTTGCATTTTAAAAAATAGATAAATTTATCTACAAATCCTTTTTTCTTACTTTTGAATTTGGAAAAGCAGCTCACACTTTGATTTTAATGCCCACTTTTGACTTTGACAAAGGCATTTTTTGCTGTCAAATGGGCTAATTGATATTTACAATACAGAATTATTAATTTCCTTTCATTTCGTAGGAATTCTTGCACAGGGGTGTTCCTCAAGTGACGTCATCATCTGCAGGACTAACTACGCTAATGCTTATAGTGCTGCTGCAAACGATCATGGAAAAATTTGCAGGTTAACCTTTTTTAGTTTGTTGATTGACATATCTGATTAAAATCTGCTTGTAAAAAATATTACATTATCATTTTGCCGAAACCGTAAATGACATGCATACTCAGATAATATTCCAAAAATATCTTTGAACAATTTGTAGCGCATTGACACTTACAGCACAATCTTACAATTTTTCGCTGAATATTTCTGTCGTAAAATGTGCATTTACATGAAAAACTATTTTTGTTTACAGGGCAGGAGCTCTGTTATTGTTATTGTGTATGTTTCACCGGGTGTGTTCAAACATCACTGAACACGGACTGACAATACTAGATGAAATAGATTTGCTTTCTCACATTTCTACTCAGAATTTTCTGGATTATAGTTTTAATATTTTTCAATAATACACAACAACATTTCTACTTTTCTTAAGTATTAAGGATTAAAGTTTACTTTTTGAAAGTGTCAATCAAACGCGTCCCGAAATTCGTAGTTTCAATAATTTCCATATAAAATGAATTCTTTATTATATTTCCGTGTGAAATGCTATAGCCAATGATAAGTTATTATATCATACAGAAAGTTTGAGAAAATATTAACTTCAAATCTGTGTCTAGGCTCCTTTAATCCACGAGTATGTTTTGTCAATACCACTTTCGGTTTTGACACAATCTCTCGCTTAAAGATGTAAATCTATCAAAATTTCTATTTGTAAAAATTCTTGCGTTATAAAATAAATACATGTAAATATTAATGAGCAAAAATCTTTGTTAAAACAAGAAATGATTCATAATATTTCAATGAAATGTTAAATTTTAACAATGTAGCCACTGCGATGACGGATGTTACCCTCCCTACCCCCTACCCCCCATCGCCCTGCAAAGTTAGGCCTAGCAGTTAAGTTACTGGTTTAGAATCCTTGACCATGCAGGAAAGTCCAGCCACTTTCAACAACGCTTTCTGATATTAAATTACATGACTTTCCATAGATCCACAAGTAGCACTTTCACAATACACAGAATCAGAGTAGGGCTCATATGATTCCTCTGTCTTTATTCTTGTAGTATTACAAGTTCAAATCATATTTATATAAAATAAATATCCAACATATTGTCAAATATGTTTTAATAGACGCAGCGGTTCGTAAATGGACATAGTCTTAGCCCGAGGGCTTCCTGAAGCAGGTCACATAACAACTGAAACATAATGCTGTCATCAATTTTGTGATGTGAAGCTATATAGACTTGCCTAAAATGGAGGGAAACTATACCTCATTACTAGAAAATCTAGCTCACTAGCGAAAGGCAGCTTAGGTTACCTATATACTGTCTGCTAGACTAGATTATAAATGTTTGCTATGTGTAAGAATGTAAGCAATTCGCTGACGTACATCATTTAATTACATCAAAATCCCTTCCTGTTCACTTGGTTTTCTAAGCGTAATTTGGATCGATTGGTTCTTTCAAAAAATTGATTAAAGATATTTTGCTACGTATGACAATGAATGGATTAAAATTTCCAATTAATATTTTCATAATCGTTTTCATCAAACTGTTTGTCAATCTTTCTATTCAACAATATAACAAATATAACTTTTGTAGAAAATAATATAACAAATGTAGCTCTTCATTCAGTCAATCCTAAGATTAACTAACTTCACATAAGACACATCAACTTCGTACTTCGTTTTCGGTCTATATGCTTTTCTCTGAAGTCGATGTATCTATGCATCAACCTTACAAAAGGGACTTATTTCTATAATGTCATCGAGCCCAAATTTGTCTATTTCTATGAATCTTTGTATGAAAATTTTTATTGCTAAACATGCTTCCAGACTAAAAATAATTTGTTTTATAAATCTTCCATGAACAGTGCAGGACACCAGTTTCTTGACTGTCTAGACAATGTATTGGCTGCCTGTGGCACGGAGGGCCAGTCAAGTCAATCTCTTCACCAAGCAAAACAATACTTGAACCAAGCAAGGCAAGCCCTCAACCAAAACGTGTGCGGTAGGTATCTTTAAATATTTCAGCTTGACAAACGAACGTGAAAATAAAATATTCAATTGAAAAGCAATTTAATTTTTAATTAAGCTTTTAAATTGATATCATTTACCTTAGTTTCAAAGATGCATCAACTTTTCTTTCATCTCAGGCGCTGCTGATCTCCTCTTCAATGTGGTGTTCATGGCTTCTGGACTCGCATTTTCATACATTTTTAAAAAAATTAATGACTGAAATAATCTTTAACCCATTTATACACAATATTGCATGCAAAATCTAGACTTAAGCAAATTAAATTTTTTATATAGTTAAATCAAAAGAATTTTCATATGTACAATCCTTATTCGTAGAAAAAAAATCACTTACTTAAATGCTTGTGCAATGTTCATGTAAAAATAATTAAAAAGAATTAATGTTGTATTTTGTTTTTAATTGAAAAAATAATCTCTGTAATCATACAAAGTTTGTGTAAAATACACGTAAGTTTTGTCATTTATGCTGTGATTTTTAAGGTACATGTATATATTTTCGCCACCTTAACATTTGGCTTATTAATCTTATAAATATAAGGTTTCATAATTACATCTTCGTTGAAAGTATCGGTATAGTCCGAAATATCTGACGTTTTCCAGGCGTTTTTCACGATTTTGATATTTGATTTCATGGGTTTAAAATTTTATGAACAGCTGATTTCAAAGCACAATATTGTAAGTGGATTTATTTAAACACATAAGGTAGAAATCCTCACTTGAATTTAGAAGCTTTATCCGAGTTCAATATCTACTGCGCGCGAGCAACGTAACAATTCGACGTGGCAGACTTTGGACATCCGGAGTGCAAATCGACAATAAAATTTGTCACTCCTCTCTCTGAATCTTTTGTTCCATTAAAAAAGGAAATCTTTACTTATTTTGTCTCCTTTTTAGCCAGTTTAATCAATTCCAAAGTCAATTTCATGTGATTTTTTTTTTTCAAATATCTTAGTTAAATATTAAACATGGTAATGCTCTATGTGCCATGAAATCCTTCTACGGATAAAATATTGAACATTTAATATTGTTTCTGTGCAGTAACCTAGTCCTGCTCTTCACCAATTCTACACGATCAATGGTCAGTTTGACAATCGAATAAAGATCAAAACATGATAATTTGTGGATAGATATAGGTGTGAAAAATTCAAACAAATTATCATTCCTTGTTATGCTTTAAGCAAAACACTTACAAACACCAACAACTTGAAATGACTTTTAAAAAAGTCAGATGTCACACAGGACTGACTGACGGAAATGTTTATGTTTATGTAACATCAGATCACGAGTGTGCAAAATTGTTGTCGTCGTTCAAATCAGCTCAGTTCTCATCAGCGTTGACTAAAGAGGGAAACTAAACTCTTCTCTCAGTAGCATCAAATTCATATCAAATTCATATTCCACCTTCTGCTTCACTTGCCCGTCTGTAAGAAATCGGTACCTGTATTCAAATTAGTGCATCTTTCGCCCTGAAAATGAATATTTCCCTTTGCATTTTCAAGATCAAGATTTGCAAACCAATAATGAAAAGTAATCTGAGAAGGGTCAGTTTTGGAAACATATAAAGGGAATACCCTCAAAAACAGGAAGATGCTGTAGATTACAAATTATCTAAACATTGTTATGGAAAACTTAACAGAATAATAGATTTTTGTATTGAGGCGTATAATAAATATGCCCCCCCCCCCCCCCCCAAAAAAAAAAAAAAAAAAAAATCAGAAACTTTTAAGCTAGAACACTTCATGTCCACATTCTACATTTTTTTAAAATAATCTTTCAAGTGTATTTTTTTTTTGTCCTTCAGTGTTTACAATTTTCTTCTTCAGATTTTTCTCTTTCAATCAAAAGAGAATTTAGCTGTAAATTTACATGTCATTTTTATTTGTTCAAAAGTTTTTAAAAAAATTCAATTTCAAGAAATATAATAAAGTCAAAATTTGCTGTAAGTTTTTTTTGACATAAAACTTACGCAATACAACAAATGTAGTGTGTCCTGATGCAAAAACCTTATATAAACTTTTATATCATGATGCATAATATTTCGTTTTTTTTTTTTTTTTTTTTTTTTTTTTTTTATCCTATTGCACAGTCTTAACCATTGGAAAGAAAAAAACATTGATAAAAAAAAAATGTTATGATAACCAAAGCTAAGAATACTTGATCCCTTTGTTAATTACAAAATAATATTTTTGAAGGTATAATTAATTGGCGTAAAAAAATCCGATGACCAGACAGTGTTGAAGACATGCATGCATGTAGAAAACTATCCACTCAATTTAACAGAATATTGTCACTGCAATTCATCTTATGATGGACAAAACATTTAGGTTTCAGGACATTCTTCTGAACTTTATCGTAGTAGATGTTTATATATATGAAAAAGATTTTACTCTTCCTGTGTATACTTCGGGTTGGAACCTGAAATTGAAAATTGACGATGTATACCGGTACATGTATTTTAAATGTGTAATCAATTCATGTTAACATGAAGCAATTTCAAGTATAATCATTTGAAATTTTTTATTCCTTTAAATTCCACTTTGCACAGACTAAACATTTTTTCATTCACCAGAATCTTTATGACGGATTAAAATATGTTTAATCATAATCTTTTTTTCAGGCAGAAAGTACTGAACCAAAGATTACCTGGTTGTCTGCCAATGGAGTGATCATTGAATAAACCAGATATCACCATTTACCACAGAAGTTTTAGTGGAGAAAAAAAACACACACTCGATCTCCATCTTTATTCATAAATGTTGACTTGTTTCTCACTATGGCGTCAGAGTCATGACTTTAAAACAAAGGACAACAGCAACATTGGTCACTTGACTTTCATAATCATTTATTCTTCTAATTTTGATCTGATATCCTTAAATACAGGATAAACAATCTTTTGCAATTTTTTTTCAAATTTACTTAAAACAATGAACACATTCAAAACAAAATTACAGGTTTAATCCTGTAATCTCACGTTCATTTATATGTAGATTTAACTCGCATGTATGATTATGACTTGTGTTTATCATTACTAGGCGGCCTTCCAATGTTAACGTTGAAAGACAATCATGATAACAAAGGATTCATTTTTTGTTATGCAAAGTTTATCTGCGAAGCCTCTGCCTTTTTTTTATAGTTCAGACATAATTTTTTCCTCTAGTATATTACTGATCTTCTTTTAAATACGTTTTTTTGCACATCTTTTCTTATCATTTTTTTATAGTCAATATGATGTTTCTAGCATAACAGAAAATGAAGATGGAATGAATGAATGAATTCATTGATTCCCTTAATTATAGTTGGGTTAACTTAAATTATGTCCTTCCACAAAACAGCAAAATTATATGTCTGCTCACAAAGCATTGACCTCCACAAATGAAAACGATTCCATAGTATTATACAATTTAAAAATATATACATATATCAAAAAGCAATATATACAATGTATGTGTACTAGGGAATGGAATAATGAATAAACATACATTGAAAACTCACAAATACATAAGGAAAAACATTTTACTGGACTGTGAATCAAACCCAATATCTCTATATTACAAATAAACATATACTAATGAGGTGTTCTTACCACTAAACTGTCCAAATTGATATCTTCAGTCCATATACTTAGAAGCCAAAATTACTCTTAATGTATCTACTAAAAAATTAAGATAATTAATAAAAAAAAAGAGAGAGAAAAAAAATAAGAAGAAGAACATATTATAATCTTTTACACGTGTGTTATGTAGTTTTCGTGTATAGGATTACAGTATTAAATCTTTGATATTCTGTAATATTAATTATTCATGGAAACGTTAATTTAAAAGTTTTGAAATCACAAAATTTAAACAAAATCAATAACATAAAAAACGTAAGACTTTTCAATTCTTTATACAACCATTCCCAACGATTAATTAAAACCCAGGCTTTTAAACCTCATAGCTGTTTTTTTTTTTTTTTAAATGAAACTCGAAAATATACTTACCTTGTCATTGGTCATATGCAAAATTCTTTTGTAAAAAAACATTCTGATTGTACACACAAGTACTCTGAAGTTAATATAAAAAAATGCATGAGTTTCTGATTGACAATATCTGTGTAGTTTTTGCAATTGGAGATCAGGTCTTCCAACAATCTGTTCCCATGGATATCAATAGCGCCCTTTTATTAGCAGACCTACTTTTGTATTCATATAAAGCAGAATTTATTCAAAAACTTCTACATGAAATGAAGGAAGCAATTGCTATGGCCTTCAGCTCAACATTTAGATATGTGGACGACGTATTGTCAATTAACAATAGTTACTTCCATTCATATGTCGAATCGATATATCCTAGTGAGCTAGAAATAAAAGATACCACAGAGTCTGACACGTGAAATATATGGAGATAACGAACAGTATTCAAGCTTAAAAGTCCATTAATCAATACAAAATAGGAGCAGAGCAAACACGGACCTCCAAACATCAGAGGTGGGATCAGGTGCCATGGAGGAGTGAGCATCCCCTGCCGACCAGTCACACCCGCCGTGTGCTCCTTGTCATGATCGGGAAATGACGGAAAAATCCGTCGACAATTCAGTGTGTAAATAATGGCCTAACAATTAGTGTGAAAAACGTCAGTCAGCATTTGACTCAATGATAAATTGTATTTGCTGACAAGGTCATTGTATCGACCATAGAACTTACGAAATGGTGACTTTAAACGAGACAGCTGATATTCTTGTTTCATCAACTTATTTGTCAGTAATTTACCTCGTTTTAGAAATTGTACATACGTAGAGCATGCTCTTGCGTATCGAATCAACTGAGAGATATATACCCCGTATGCAGGTGATGAAGGTATATTGCTGCATAAGTAAGGGAAGTTGACGATTGAAAAGTTAAAGTCATCAGGTTTCTCATAAGGCTTGGTTGTTAGATTACCATTAACATCTTTTTCAAGTAAAATATCCAAATATGAAACAGATGTGTCAGACTCTGTGGTATCTTTTATCTCAAGTTCACAAGGATATATCGTATCGACATAAGAATGGAAATAGCCATTGTTAATTGACAATACGTCGTCGATATATCTAAATGTCGAGTTGAAGGCCACAGCAAATGTTTTCTTCTTTTCACGTACAAGATTTTGGACAAATTCTGCTTCATATGAATACAAAAAAAGGTCTGCTAATAACGGGGCGCAATTGGTACCCATGGGAATTCCAATAGATTGTTGGAAGACCTGGTCTCCGAAAACCACATAGATATTGTCAATCAGAAACTCAAGCATCTTTTTAATGTCAACTTCAGAGTAATTGTGTGAACAATCAGAATGTTTTTTAAC